CATGTTTGTTGACCTCGGCTTCGCCTCGGCATTACATGTGATCTGAGACATTTCTTACTTTACTTCCCTCGGTGTGTAATATACTATTGAATATTCAACACTGCGATCGCAGCCCTATCTGTCGGATCCAATGTGAAACATTGGAGATCAACAACAATTTGTAAATAAAAGATTAATTAATTAAACATTTTCCCATAAGCTGAATTGTGAATCTAAACCATTCTCGAATCCACCTGAAGACACACAAAAAATTTCATTAAAATCAATCCAGCCGTTTAGGAGGAGTTCAGTGACAAATACACGCACAGAAGAAATACAGTGTAAACTCTATATAACGACACTGAAGGGACCGTGAATTTTATGACGTTATAGAGTTGACGTTAAATAAAGAGAAGAAAAATTAGAATTAGAAAAAAAAAATTAGGAAAACGGTTGACCCTGAAGGCCATCCCTGCAACTTCCCGCCAATTCTATACCTAAACGCTTGAAATTGCACTTATGACGTTTTAGAGCTCTTCGAGCTCATAAATACAATTTGTGTATTATTTTGAGCTCTCCAAGCTCAAAAAAATAGCTTTTGTATGCTTTTGAGCTCGTCGAGCTCAAAAGTTTGATAGAAGTTTGATAAAACACTATTTTTTTTATTTTCAAATCGCAATAACTTTTGAATGAATGAACCGTATATATACATATATACAGATTAGGGTATGCCAAAATTCAATTTCCGTGAAGAACCTTTTAAAATTAGAATTTTGAGCTTCTCTTTTAACAGGAGCTGTGTTTGGGCATTTCCTGAGATATTTTAGGTTGAGACGTTCGTATTTGATTTTTATAAAATTTTTAACAGGAGCTTTGGTTGGGCACTTCCAGCCGTGAGATATCTCCACAGCGGCTGGAAAAAATCATTAAAATTATATTTTCTATAAGAAAGTGTTATTATAATTTTTTTTTAGCTTTAAAATTCAATTGAGAATTCGATTACCGGAATTCTAATATATAGATACTGAAATCAAAATATATCCGATAATTTCTTGATTTTGTTAGACAAATAAGTTATCATTGAAAAAGATGTTTCTTTAAAATTGCATCAATAATTTTTTTTTTCAATTTCTACAAGAGTTTTTCTTTGTCATTTAATTTTAGTATCGTTAGTACAAATACACAATGTAAAAATCTGATGTGAGTTAGAAGAATAACAAAGAGTCATAAAAACAAATTCTAAAATTGTAAATTACGAATTTTAAAATGTAGAAAATCGTTTCGATTTTAACATTTATTAACAACACATAATAAAATTTAAAAAATGATTGCTTCATCGGAAGAAACTACTACAATAAAAACCATACAACTAATGAGATTTTCATAGAAATCTTAAAATGATCAACATCAAGTATTTACTCCAGAAATTTTTAATAAAATTAAGTTCTTTCAACTCCTTTAATGTGACCTTGAATTAATGTAAGTTGTTACTTTATCTTTATCGTACTCAGTCACTGTAACAAACACTAATACCTGCTTGAGATTATGTGAAGGGATCGTTAGTGAAAGCACATCGATCTGGAGACGCAGAAGCCTGACCCTGACCACGTTTCGTAATATTTTCGTACCATCTATATGACCCTCGCCGTACAATTCGATTAACTATTTTTCTTTTGAAGCATAAAAAAGGTAGTCTTATATTAGTTCTTTATAAAGGAAAAAAACATAATGTCCTTACGTCTGATCTACATTGTTTCATACATTAAATTTTCTGTATTAAATGTTCAATAATTAATTTGCAACTATCATAAAAATTCATAATGTAAAACTATGAAATAAGTAATTCAAGGAGATATTTTTTACTGTTGTAATAATGTTTTGTTTAAAGTTTATACGCTCTCAAATATTTGACGTAATTACAATTTTTAATTTTCTAACAAGCTATAGTATGACACAGAAATATAAAATTAACTGAAGAAAATTTAAATAATTAGTAAACAGATAAAAAATAGATATTAATTTCCACAATAATTATTCTTATTCAATTACAAAGCTTGGAGTGGTTGGTATAAAACGTTGAACATGATCGTAGTAATCGTGAGTTGTCCGTAGCCAGTAAAAGGCAATTGAAGTTTTATGATCGATGTGCTACAGTGTAGTTGAGTGAATATACAGCGTAAGTAAAGTTAGTTACACAATTGTTTTGCTCTTAAATATTGCATTTAAATTTACATTATTATCACGTTTTTTTTTGTGACTGTCCGACATTTTAGTATAAAACATATTTATATAATCTACTGCTTATATCAATATCATCTTTCATTTACATTCATGATCATTTTAGCAGGTCATTAGTAACTTCGTTTTTTTTTTTTTTGAGTCGGTAGTTAATTATCTGAGATGATCAATAAAAATTATAAGTAGTTACAGTTTGAAGTTCGCTGATCACGGAGTTATTTTTTGTTTAATAGATCCAGAATTTTATTGTAATTAAATATTTATAACTATTCGCAATGTTCTACAGCATGATAAAAATTAAACATGAAAATTTAAAGATTTTACTCTGTATATACATTTATTGCTTGATGAATGTATGTGAGGAAAATTAGAAGGTAAATTTACACAAATCGTCAGATATTATTTTTATGCTGAATCTGACTATTCAATTGCAAAGTTACTTCAATTTTCATTATATATCTGTACTGATCTGATGTGTAATTTATGAATTATTCAAATATATGTATCATATTATAGTATTATCTTATTGAAAGTTCAAAAGCTTGAAGAGCTCAAAAGCATAGAACAACTATATAACTCTTTGAGCTCGGAGAGCTCAATAACACATAAATTGTTTTCCTGAGCTCGAAGAGCTCAAAAACATCATTAGTGCTTAATTTTAAGAGTTTAGGTATGGAATTAGCGAGAAGTTGCAGAGATGACCTTCAGGGTTAACCGTTTTCCTAATTTTTTCAACTTTTTTTAACACTGTTACGACTTCGTTCCGAGTAACACAGGAAGAAGCTCTTATTCGAGATGCCTAAAATTTGTTCAAAATAAATCATTTTAAACAACAGAATAAATTATAAAAAATTAAAGATTTACATGTTGAAATTTTTTTACTTTTTTAATATAAGAAATGAAGATGGTTAATATATAATATGCAATTAGGCTGTCAACGTCAACTCATGTTTTTGATTTTTGTCAACATTGCATGGTTATTACTATATTTTTTATCTTACTTTTTATTTGCCTTAGCATGAGATCATAGGTTGCAAGTCAATTATATAGCTTTAGTACAAAAAATTTTTTCAAATCATTAAAAATCTATTTTGTTTCCATAATCTTACCCTGATAAGAAAAAATGATTTAAAATGAGTGAAACGATTTGAAAACATTAAAAAAGATTTGTTTTGAACAATATATAAATATAAATTTTGCATTGAGGTAATATTTCCAAATTCCTTTTTCTAATAAGCGAATTCGCTAATTTCTATATAGTAATAAACGATAGTGTAATTCCAATTTAAAAAAAAAAGTGACATATATCATTACATCATTAGTGTACAAGCTGTAGAACCAATATTTGGTCGTTGTCAAATCGAAACACAAGTATTTAGATTACAAATAGTGTACTTTTTAAGTAACCTATATTATATTTTTTATTTACATACAGTCATTTTAATAAAAACTGTTCAGTGCTTCGGATAAATTTAATACAAATAACATTATCTGTACTTGAAAAAAGAAAAAAAATTCGTATTTTTGGTACATTTTACGTAACATTTTTCTTCATTAGTCGTAAATTAATCATTTACGATCAGGTTCAAATAACTCTTCATGCTATAAATAATACAGAATTCCTTAAATATTGAATTTTTATTAGTATGTTTAAGAAACAATATAATTTCACGTAATCATGAAAATTATTCAAGTAAAACTTACTCGCTATTATCTCAAGGACGTTAAAACATTCAGATACAGAATAGCACTTATACATAAGACTAGATATAAAATTCAAAAGTTTATAAAATTATTTTTCCTATATTATTTAAATGGAACATTTCTGTTCGCGATCATTAAGTATTAATATTAAGGGCCCAAATTTTTGCAAATTCTTTATTTTGACGATCCCTGATGAAAATTAATAAAAAATTCATTCAAAAAAAATTGTTGTTTTTTTAATATACTCGAATAAATAATAGTACACGTTCCAATAATTACAAGATGACTTGTCTTTAATTTTTGTCATGAGTGATCAAATAATAAACATTATCAATCCATTACCAAATCCAATACTCAGTTATTATTCAATGTAGTGAAAAATCGCATTTTATACATCTGTACGTTCAATTTCAAAGAAACTTTTAAAAATACTTATTTTTTATCGGTTTCTAAAAATTTCATTTTTACTGTCAATAGAGTATTGACGGATGGAGTTACTCAAATTGAATTAATACGGACGAAATATTTACAGGTAATGATCATGATTGCGATGACATATGAAGGACGTAAAAAAAAGCTATGTAAATAAGAAAAGTTGAGGTGAAATATAATTGTGTGGTTTCGTGTCAAAGTATAATTATAGTAAGCACGCAAGAAGTAATAATAATTGCATATAGGGGCCAACAATTTAACGATTGAATGTATCAAATAGAAATCCAGAATAAATATAATGTTTCTTAATCGGCTATAACAAACTATTAAATAACGAATTCAAAGAACATTTTAAAAATCTAAATCGTAAAAGTAATAATAGTACATTACACACCTAGGGCAGTAAAGTAAGAAATGTCTCAGATCACAGGTGATTGTTGGCCGAGCCGAAGCCGAGGTCAACAAACATGTGATCTGAGGCTTTCCTATTTACTGCCCATGGTGTGTATACTATTTTTCTCCTCGACGGAGGCGGAAAGCGGCAACTCCGTTTAGCGCAGTGGGGCTAAAGTTGACGCTTTACGCCCGGAAAGGAGAAAAAGTAAATAATACAAATTCGTATCTAACGGAAATAAATTTTTGAACTTTAAGGATGATAAATGATGAAAATTTTGTCAATAACCACAAAATTGGAACACCGAAAAAGACGGATATGGAGGATAAAAGTACCAAATTCAGTAATGGGTAATTGAAAAAATTTTTCTCTTATTAAACGTTATTATTACATAAATATGATTTATTACAATTACATAAACATTAAAACAGGATAAAAAGCTTAGATGCCTCGTTAATCGGTGATAAAATATCTAAAGAATCATCAGGAAACATTCATAAAATGTGGGAACCAATGCTGTGTGTCCAAAATGAAATAGCTACTAAATCTATCAAAGAGAACTTGGATATAATCGAGAATAATTTAGACGAGGTAAAGCAGTTAAGCAAAGAGGAAATGAAACCCAAGGATGAAGAACTCGATCTGGACTTGGAAGAAATTTCGCCTGAGGTAATGGAGTACGCTAAACGAGAACTTGGTGAAACAGATGAGGTCAAGTGTCAAACGTTACAAGAGCTAAGAGATATGATATATGGTAATTATTATCATTTTAAATTTAACAATGAACATGTGCTACTGTCTCTTCAATTTTCACGGAATAGTCTTGAGTAGTTCTTTGAAGCGCTACACCTGCTATTTTCGACTACCAAAAATCGGAAGGTTATCATATCCCAAAGGAGCACAAATTTTATTTTATTAATGTTTTGTTGAATTTAAGTTGACGATTATTAATTTTTGACGTCTTGTTGAGTAAAATCTACCAAAAAGTCAACATTTTTTTTTGTGACACTTGGGATACGACTAAATTTTTTTTCGCGTCAAAGCAATCACGTATTATTTTCTTAAAATTTATCAAAATACTAACAATTGAAAAAAGCAACTTTTTTACATGTTACTTCCTCGATTTAATATTATTATCACGTCTAAAAAGTTCAAATAATGTCATCGAACTATTTCAAGTTAATAACTACTACACGGAAAGAAAATTATGGGAACTATTCCTATACCATTATGGGAATGGTTCCCATAATGCTATAGGAATAATTCCTATACTATTATAGGAATGGTTTCCATAATTTATGGGAATCATTCCCATGATAGTATAGGAATGGTTCCCACAACATATAGGTTTAAATCCTACATGGAAAAAAAAAAATTGGGGCTGCCGCATGATACATTCCTGTGAAAGATACATGACTTTTATATGACAGCAACATGATTTTCATATTTCTTATATTTTAAAAAATATCAATAATTAAGAAATGACCTTGTATCTTGTGAATTATTGACATTTTTAAAGATATAAGCTCATCCCGACATTACACTCATCGATACCTTTAATTTGAGTACCCACATCAATTTTTCATATATTTATATAAATCGTATATATGTATATATGAAAAATATACCAAAA